GGTGGGTAAGTGTTTTTTACTTTTTGTTTTTGTTAATGTCCTGTATTTAGTCATATTGAAACCAGCCAGATACAAACAACATTGGTTAATTCTGATATTTGTGTCACATCGGCAATTCGTCAGATTTGATATTGATCAAATCGGTAGTCCCTCAAATCGTCTTTTTGTCCAATTATGAATTTTGCCAAATACGCCATTAAGCAATTAGTTTAAGTACAAAATTAAGCATGAAAATAAAAGTACATCATTTTTTTATTATTAATTCATTATTAAATTTATTTTCAATTATTTAATTCATATTTAAAATGATTATATTCCTGTGGATCGTGTGAAACTGTTTTAAACACTTTCTCATCTAATGTTCCTTCATTTTATTTTAAAATCTGGATTTCATATTTTAAAATAAAATGAAGGAACATCAGATGAGAAAGTGTTTAAAACAGTGTAGATAGTATCATAGAATTTATACAACACAACTGTTTTAAACATTATAACATATCTAATTTTCCACCCAATAATTTATTTTTAATTTTTTCAATTTCTTACAGATTTAAAGGAGGTAACAATTAATCGATACAATTAATTATTAATCGATACAATTAAATACTGTAAAATTACTTTTATGTAAAAATGATAATTTCTAATAATGTAAGTAGGCGTCCAAAACAGGCGGCTTCCCCTGTTGTAAGTTCACGTTCCTACAAGTAGTATAAATTATGTGAATTTAAAACGCATACTTTCATCGACTGTACATAGACTTAACTAATGGCGTATTTGGCAAATTTCATTATTAGACAAAAAGACGGATTGACGAACTAATGATTTGACCAAAATTTGACAAATATTAGACTTGACCAATGTCGTCTCACCCAAACAAAAATTCTCATCATGTTCAGAATTTTCATCAATTATATACATACGAAAAACTAAAAAACCTTTCCCTGACCTAATATTAATATAACCTAATAGTAATATAACGAGCCTATATTAATATAACGAGCAGTCGAGTCTTCTGATGGTGAGTGACTACCGCCGCCCATGGACACCTGCGACTCAAGACACACTAGTACGTTGCCGCCCTTTGAGACAATGGGGACAGGGGAAGATTTATGCTGCGGTAACCTCACTCAAGCGGTGGAAAGCAAAGAAGGAATTGCTTAACATATTCCATATAATTCCTTCAACATACATAACGCTTGCCACAATTTGCTATTTTTATAGAGGTTCTGGACTGTCATTTATCAGATCGTAGTACTTTTAAAACTTTAGTTTTAAAATAATTATCAAACCTGGTAATTTTGCTCACGTTATATACTGCGAAATTTAGATGTATTTTAATTACGAAAATAGAGAGGTAAAAATCAAGAAAAAATACTAAGGATAATTCAAGATTACACTTTTTAAATTTGTAGAAAATAACAAATTAGTGATTTGTGTAAAAACACTTTTACAAGTTTAGAATCAGATGTCTTTTTTTTTCATTTAAATATTTTGTAACTAGAGTTGTTTTTAACTTTTTTCATTTAAAGCAGTTCTTAATTTTATTTGGTAGTACTAATTCAGAAAAGATTTTCGCTTTCTATAGTGAGGCGTAAATATTACATAGCCGTAAATATCCTTTGTGCTATAACACAGGGACTTGTATAGTGTACAGTCATTCTGTAAGCCAAGTATCGGCCGACGGCCAGGTCCGATTAACGAGCTGCTTCGCTACTTTAGCACTTGGCTCCCTATCCACCCTGTGCCACAAGTCTTACGTGATTACTCTTTGTTTTCTCAAGAATAATGGCACCAGCCTGAGGCCTGGGGACTGAGGAAACAACTCCCTGCGAAATTATCTGCAAACTTTTTATTTATACAATATACAAGGGCATTCTCGGCAAATATTCTTTAAGATTTTCATTATGTGGGATATTTGTGGGCGCTCACAAATTGTCGATCTTATGAAGGTGGGAACCCAACCAAATTTGTTCGGTTAACCGCGACGCAACATTATTTTTGTTACATAATATACCCTAAACAAACTTAATAAGGGTATATCTATTAGAAGCGAAGTGTTTATTTTTATAAATATGCTAAACACCTAATTTGTAAAAAAAAAGTCGTGGCTGCCAAAATGGTAAGCTGCGGTCAGTAGTGAGAGAAGGTCCATACATCATTGAGCAGGTGTAGAATTACCTGTCAAAATTTTAAAACTGGCTTTTGAAAAAATAAAATAATAAATCATAAATAAATGAAACATTTGATAGAGATAGATACATTTTTAGGTTATCGCTTCGATAAATACAAGTTACATAAAGCATTGTTTAAAATAGAACTTGGGATTGATAAATATATAATAGTCTCTATTAATAATTCCAAGTCAATTGGCGTGGCAGTTGTTGTCAATCTAATATTACTCGAATGTTATACAAAATAGTGAACTATCATTGTAGTTAACATTATAAAATATAAATCTGCTTGTGTTTACGAGTAAATTTATAAAATCAAGTATAAGTAGATCTAAATCCCGAGATAGGGTTGTTGAAACACCTTAGCGACTGTATCATCAGAACATTAGAAAGTGTACATGTACTTGTATCCTCCAATTTGACTCGTATAAGAAAAAGAAAGTAGGTGCTAGACACTAACTGGTAATGTCGCCACACAATAGCGCCAGCTTGAGTCAATATAAAAGCGTCTTTATTTGCACAACGAAAAAAGGCTTATACAAATATGGGAAAATTTTCAGTAAATATGTTTACCATCACAACTTACACGTAATAAAATAAATATGTATGTACGACAGTAGCTATTATTGAGACCACTTTCTTTAAAATGACGGATACTCGTAATCAACATGAAAACAAACTACCCATAATATTTTTGTAAATCTGGTGATATGCACCTACTTATATACATATAATAATGTGTAAATTTATGTATATTAAAAGCGATGCCACTGTTTACAAGAATATTAGATTGAGAGTTCTTTTTATTGTTTTAAAAGTTTTAATTGACACAATTTAGAAATTCTAGTTATATAATATTAGCTTATAGTTTCTCAAGTGATTATTTCTATATACTCGTAATTAATACAGTCAGTACAATTATTATGGTTATGTCTGTCATAACTGTAAATCCTGTGTGAATAATAGTTCTTTAAATGTCTTGGAATAAGAAGTAAACACCTATTTAGATACTCTTTAAGGTAAAAACTACATTGTTACCGCGAGTTATTATCATTTCAACTGCAGGATGGTTCGTAACCACTAATAGGCGTAGCGAGAGAAAAGCGGAGTAAACATTTAAAAAAGATTTGCATCATGTGAGTTGAGAGCTCCTAAGATTTTTGTTATCCTACATGTGATTGACTCGGAGCGGTACGTTTAAAAGTAAATGCTGATCTTACTTAACTTGACCATTTACTGTTCTTTTGTATCGTATTTGTCGATTTAAGAAAATGCTAAATGTCATTAATATTATCATTTTTTGTTGTAAGATACAGCAAAAAATGACTGTACTGTTGTAAAATATATAATATTATTTCGAAAAAAAAATATATACTTTTTAATTAAATGTAAATACTTTATTACTTGCCTTTCAGCTCGACAGCATAAAATCCAACGAAAACTGAAACATGTTTATTTAAATCCTTGATGTGTCTAACTTATTCGCAAGTACCATAAATACAGAAAGTTTGGGGATAACTTAAGTCCGTAATCTAGATCTGAATGAATATTCTGATAATTTCAACAAGTTTCAAAAAAGTACTAAATAACTAAAGGATGGCGAGTATTATAATATTAAACTTAAGCCACTAGAAGGAACACGATTCCATTTCGAATTTAGCTACGTAATCTTTCTGTTTATCCACTTTCAGTTAGTTGTTTGTAGCCGTTGTTCTTGAGGAAATTTGTTGACCTTGTTAATTAATCGTTTTATATGCAGACTTTTCGAAGCTTTCCTTAAAAAGATTTCAAGCTTAAGAACATAATATAAATCATATTTCAGATATGGCAAATTATCATATTTTATCGATATACATGTGTGTTCCATTTAAAGTTTGTAGCGAAAATGCATTCGTAGCGCTTTTGTTCCTTGAAGTTGACCAGTGAAATAGTTGACGCATGTGTTTAAACACATAACGTCGCAACTCAGTTTCTAACTATTGGAACGTCACAGTCGCCAGGACTTGCGACCCGCGCGGAACTCTTTCCGTGATTAATGGGAATCTTATCAGATTCCAACGCTATACATTTAACGGGGCGATCGCGCCCGACTTAATCGACAAACCTGCCGTCCGAAAGGTGCAAATTAATTACACAGATAGCTTTAACTCTCCAGTACATTAATTTGTACCTAATTGATTATTTGTAGGATACTGTTTGATTCAATCTTCTAAAACATAATTAATTTCGTGATCGGAATTTATACGCGGCGCGTGGATTGCAGGCGGGGTCTAAGCAAATGCTCTGATGAGATTATTCTATGACGCATTTGCATATTCAAATCGTCAGATATAAAATTTTGGTGGTAATTCCTTAAATGAGTTTTGAACATTGTTATATATTCTTTTTATTTTTTAACCGTTGTAATTTTTCTTGTGTTGTTCCGCTAATTAGTCATATTTATTCGCCGTATGTCATATTTCATAAAGTCTTCACGTCCATTAGTATTATCAGGGAATCTTTTTATCTTTGAAAAATATGGTTGTTCTGCAAAAGTGGCGACCAGGCGGGGTATTGCGTCGGGGCGGGTTCGGCTCGACGGCAGTTCAGCTCGCGCGTCTCGACGGCCGGCCGCCTTACGCGACGCGCTCTTTTACGTACACTTACTTCAATGCTAATTAATTCCGTTCAATCGGAGTTCTAATAAGATGGCATGTGCTGTGATTTAATATTATAAATGTTATTTATTTTTTGTGTAGAAGGCGGTGTTTGTGTGTGATAATAATCATCGTTGACAGTTAAAGTGCGCCATGCGGTGAAGTGCCGTCGGTGCTATATGCACGTGTGGATATGGTGGACCCGCTGAAAATATTTTGGGTTTTAACAAATAGCACTTACTTGGGTATGATTTTTTTTACAATCCTATCTATACTACATTAGGTTCGCTTACTTAGAAAAATATTTATATTGTTGTCGTATGAAACCAGCGGCTCCATATTCTTGATAATCTAATTTATGGTTCATTACTCATTCAGATAACACTTTTAAAACACGAATTGTAGTAAAAGCATAGCTTAGAATATTTCGTTTCATTTATACAAAAATACTTAATTAATAGAATTAATTATAACCATAAATCAAAATTATCATATTATTATAATCCTTGATTTCCTTTAAAAGAAATTAAAAACGTTAACTACAATAATCTATTGTTTTAGGAAAATTAACTCTTTAATATTAATTTGAAAAAGTCGTCAACAAGTAATAACTACTAAGCTAAAATTATAATACAAATACATAAATTGAGCACATATTTGTCAACTTCGATGCATTAATTTAAAAAAATAAAAATGCTTTACGGAAGACGAAAGAAAATATCACAGAGGGATCTCTGTGATATTTTCTTTACTATTTTCTTTACTACTAAGCTAAAATTATAATACAAATACATAAATTGAGCACATATTTGTCAACTTCGATGCATTAATTTAAAAAAATAAAAATGCTTTACGGAAGACGAAAGAAAATATCACAGAGGGATCTCTGTGATATTTTCTTTCGTCTCATGTGTCTAGAAAAAGCACTTATTGCATAACATACGGTCCTCTCAGAACTTCATTAATAAAAAAAAAACAACCTAACTACATATTCAAACTTTAACTCCCGCATGTGCTGCCGGTCTAGAAAGAAATTAAAATCCAAAATCTTTTTGTAATTCTTGATTGGGAAGAGGTTTGATTAAGTGTAAACAACTGATTGAACTGTGACAAACCCGAATATGACTACTGGTTTTTTTTACTACTTACGACGACATTACCACTACTACAAAATTTGAACCCAATCTATTTACAATTAACCTAATACAAAATGTAAACACATACTACACCAACAGTGTCAGTCACGCGTAATGTATTCTAATCACCCTGTGCCAGAGCCCGCTTTCTAACTAGGGAACTAAGATATAGCACGAGTATAAACATGAAGTACATGTTTATACTAGTGCCTAAATACTTCATAAATTTTATTGACACGTTTCTTGTGTTTACAAGAAGTAGATAGTTTTCAAATATCAAAAATAAAATCTTCAGAGGACGTGGTTATTTAAGCTGCCTGCCTGCTGTCAGGGTCCTTTAAACCAACTTCCTTCTCGTTTGAATAACATGTTTTCAAAACTCATACTACTATTATTAGAGCTTCGGTCATTAAATCATTTATTATGCCCACGCTTAGCGTTATTCCCAGGGCCCTTATTACAAGTAAATTTATTAACGCCAAGTTTATTTACCATTTTGTATAAAGTAACAACCCAATAAGGAAAAAAGACTTTAGATTTATTACGGAAATTATTGGGTGTCTGCCATTTTATTTTGAGGCAACTTGAATCGTAATATTTCTGATATTTCGCAAGTATGTATTTGGATAAATCTTAATATAAGCAGTTTTAATAAAAAACTAGGTTCGGTTTTGCAGCTAAGGTTACTCGGGAGACTAACAGCTTAATTAAATTTTAAAGTGTAGCGTTTGTGGCCAACTCTACTTAAACTGTTATATTAATCGTACTCGCATTTTTTAAACATACTGTTTCATTCTGCTCTATTGTATATTTTATAGAGTTCATTTGTGAGTTAGGTAAGAATACCCTAGTATTTATATAAATATTGCTAGGACTGACTGCCTTATAATCAAAAATATTTTGTTATTTACTTTTTATCGAAATCAAATGCTGTTGCTGTATAAATATTTCATGATTCTTTTAATTTTTTTGATACCAAAACTACACATGAATTCGTCTATCGTTTTGTCCATGCAAAGGTTGCCTGTAAGAAATTGCTTTTTGACGAGAAGGCCGCCATTTCTACTTGGTCATTAATTTCTTTTTTTAAAATGACGACGCCCGCATTAGGTATATATCCTGTGTCGCGTCGGACTTTAAAACATACATGAAACGGACACAAAGGACACCCAGACTCAGAACAACAATTTGTGGCTCACACAAAGTGTCGTCCCATGAAGCGGCGTGGCGACCGTTTAAACCACTACGCCATCCGTGCAGGCAATTTGATGTACTATTGTATGTATGATGTACTAAACTAGTTTATTCTATTCTATTATACCCTTCAGATTGATAACAGTTTTCTGTTAATCTTAATGAAATGAAAATGTACACTAATAACCCACCCAGATTCGAACGTGTCGCATCAGCTTTTTGCTTTCATTTTCAGCAATTAAGATGTAAAATGTAACGCCTACTTTATACTTGATCAGAATACTTGATAGAATAGAGATCCAAATACAGAAAAATATAGTTGCATTATAATGTTTTATTCTTAGAATTTAGACGTATTTGTAGGGTAAATAATTCCTTAATTTATTGTTTTTACACTCCGAGTATATGCGGCGAACGCATGCAAAATTTCTACTTGGCATGATTTATTCCAACATCTTAAACAATCGTTACAGTATAAATGAACTACTTTCTTCACTCTCATTTACTTTACTACAGTTATAAACTGTACTATTAATCCTTACATTTGAATTTATTTAAAAAGGAATACCTAAAAAGAAGTTTTTTTGCTTGTGTAATCATATGAACATATATATTTAGTTCGACACAGTGGAAGCCAAACTTTTGGTATGTCAATAATGACATTGCTTCTGAATGTAAAAACTTGTTGCTATCGCACCAATACATTGTGAATGTTCACATTTAAGAAGAATATTTTTTAGTGATTTTAATACGAAATTGCATTTTAGGGCTATAAAAATGTACCTACGTTCTTGAAAAAAAAACATATTTTTTTATTTTTTGTGTTTCGCGCTCAGCGTGACATTCTGGGAAACAATTATAAACTTATTAAAACCTAACAGAGCTACATATAAACTACAAGAAGTAAAAGAGGTGGGTTAGTAAATAAGTTTGTAAAAGGTTCAAACACAAAGATTCGATTTTCTAAGTATCTATCTACAATATAAAGTGAAACTATTAACGTTTATTGTCAGGTACTGTACCTAGAAATTTAAAGGATGTGTTTCGTTATACAAGTTCAGTTTACAACATAAAATAGAGATTATTGAAAAAGTTATTTTAAAACGGGAAAAACCTTTGTTTTATGATTTGAAAATTTTACTAAAAAATATATTTTTCCTCTCACTCACAAAAAAATTCAATAAACAATACAATATTCTCATCGTAAGGGGTAGTGTCCGCGGTAGGTTAAATAACCCCGTGCTTTACATCACTTGATGATAGTCTTAAATACTCACCAATTTTTTCCATTATGAGATGACGTATTTATTTGTGTTTTAATAGTAAAAAATTGAATATGGTTTACGAGTACTTGCATGTATGTTAGTAATTTACAACCTTATGGTTAGTACATAAACCCTCACCCATTTATACATACACGCGAACATTGTACACTTGGGATTCAATGTGTATAAATTTTGAAGTTTACCATAGATATCTATGTAAAATCGCAAACTGTAGAGTGTTAAATCGGGCAGTATAACTGAATATGGAATAAAAACATACAATAGGGATGGCCTGTTTTTATTCGATTTTCACATCTCAAATTAGTTCTATTCGATATTCTATAAAGTTCTATATCGATTCAGTCATAGTTTTCATTTTATCAATGTCTTTCTCAAATTGAGCTGTATTTGTGTTAGCAAAATTTTTTTAACATAACTGATTTTCGACCATTTCATATTCTAGAATCACAATACATCGTAGACTAATGATATTATCTATATCGTGATCTAATAAAAACAATAAATCCATGTCTTCCTCGTGTAAAACAAATTTTGTTTTTTTATGTTTTGAATTCTCTTCACATCAAGCAAATATATTACCCTGACCCTACTGAACATAGTGTAATAATGTACCCTTATCAATCACCAAACCTTAGGATTATAACAGTGAAAGTCCATTAAAATGCGTGAAGCATATTTGGATGATGCGCCTCTGAAAACAATATGTAAAAATGCTTATCATGAACGCCGTAAGGGACCTATTAGAATTTTAAAAATGAAAAGTTTAAACAGTTTTTGAATTGCCTAAAACTTTACATGTACATTTATTTTATATATACATGTTCTGCCAACGCAATATTTGCCTTGTGAACTTTATAGCATATAGAACCCTGATTTATAATTCAGATTATGATAGCTATTACAGGTTACACAGATACTACATGCTGCAATACAATGTAGTGGACATAAATGAAATAAAACATTAAATGAGGACGGATAGTTTAAATAAAAATCTTTATCTAAATGTAAATAAGATAACATTTAGAAAATGCATCAGTATTGCAGTACAAGCTGGCACCTGAGCCCAGACACGACGGTAGCGGGACAGTGCGACGCTTGTAGACAATAACTCAATCGCAGTACAACGCACCGGTGTGTGCTAGCAAATGTAATCAACACGATCTGAGTACTGAGCACAATCGGTCAATCCACAACGAACCGAACCCACTTATACTAATGCGTCCTATTGAAACGATCGCGGTTCATCCCACACGCGCCTAACGAGAAGGATCCATTGGGGAAAGCGTGCAAAAGAGTTACTCTGATAATATTATGTCTAAAGGTATCCTAATTTATTTCACGGACTCTTGTCATAATATTATAAATCCTCTTTAAACATAAATCCCTTTTAATTTATGGTAAAACCTTCCCTATCAAACCGACAGTAATGTATCGTAATATAACGATTTTGTAGTTAAATGTACAGTTTTGCTGTCACTGACCAAATAGCTAAATTATTCTTAATTGAACTGCAATTATTAGCGTGTCTGCATTGAATGAAATAATTTTACAAATTAGACCTATTTCTTAGCGTATCATGGATTTACCGTGCAGGTGCCGGGTCCATCGCGTGATAGATGTGGCTACACA